TATATATATATATATTAAGCATTCTTGATGTAAGGCTTTTAAAATAATAAAATTATTTAAAATATGTTTTAATTAATTAAAAGAATTTAATAAAATAATTAGAAGCTTTTTTAAATGATAATTATGCGTGTTTTATTTAATTATTAAAGATTTGTGAAATTGTTTTTTTATATGATTTAATTGGAGAAAATATGTGTTTTTATTTATAATTATATGAGAGTTCTCTCTAAAGTATGGAGTATTTGGTGAGTAGTGAGATTAGCCCCAAATTTCATTTTTTGTCTTCTCTATGCTCTAGGGAAGAAACCTAAAACTTGTGCTTGTAGTTGGGTAATGTATGTCGTATGCTTCCTATGTGCTTTATGGTTAGTCTTTGACTTACATATGTTGGAATTACAAATTATTTAGGTTAATTGTAAATCTATGAGATTTTGTGGTTCTGGTAAGAAACCCTAGGATGAAGATTGATGAAATTGAGATATTTTGTAATATTGATGTATCTCTTTGATTATTTGATGATATAGATGTGTAGTTTAGGTGTTAGTTATATTTTTAATCGATTAGATTGAGAGAAGTGAATTTGGGTGTAAGTTGTGTTTTATTTTGAAAATTTTTATATGAACATACCTCAATATTTACATGATTTATCTCTATGTGAGTAAAAAAATAGAGTTTTGATTTTTGGTTGGAAAGTAGACATTTGAAACTATAGTTTAGACTTAAGAATCGCATAAAAATATTTAAAAATGACCAAGTTATGTGAGTTAGAAGATGAGTTTTGTATTCTGAGCACAAAATGTAAGCTTTGTACCTTGTAAGCCTTGAGAGAAGACTTAAATGATTGAATTAGCTTTTGATGTCTTGGTAAAAGTTGTAGCTTTGGAAGTTAGATTTCCAATGGCATTAAAATCACTTAAAAAGGATGTTTATAACTTAAGTTATGATCAAAATAGTAAGAAACGATCAAGCTATCAGATTTAAGCTAAAATGTTACAGTTTTGTAATTTTTAAAAATAATAGATGGTAAAATCAACTCTTGAGGTCGAGATAGAAGTTGTAGATATTTCTCTTTTCTTTCAAATAAAATTGAGATCAATTTGATATCATGAGTAAAAACTTGATATAAGAAGAGATAGTTTGTGAGTTATAATGATAAACTGTTTTATCCTTTAAATGCTTAAATCTTGGGAATGGTTTGAGATACTTATAACAATAGTTGAGAAAGAGAAAGTATGAGAGGGGATATTTTTAAATGAGTTATGAGTGGGGTATGATGAAGTTATGAAATTATTGTTGTAAGACTATGTGCTCAAGCTTTTGTACCTGTATGAGATATGAGTCGTTTCTACATGATGTGCATGATATGAAATGTTTATGCATGGGATGAGAACTTTATATGTGATATGAGATGATTATGTGCAATGTGATATGAAATGTTCATGTTTGACTTGAGAATGTTGTGTCTAATGATTGAGACATTGGTGAATGATGAGATGTAAGATGATGATAATGTGTAATATGAGAATGAAATGATGATGATATGGCATGTTAATGACTTGAGCTTGCGATAAAGTTATGTAATATGTACTTGTGATGATCATATGATGAGATTTGTGCATAAAGTCTTATATGTGAGACATGCATATCATGTGTATAAAATATTTTACAATTGTATATGAGATTTTGCCTTCAAGTCGCATGATTTCGCCTTCAAGCCATGAAATTTCGTCTTCAAGCTATGATTTATTGGCATCACATGCATGTGGATCTAGACGAGTTTGTATCCATTACATCAAGTGTATAAGCTTTGAATATGTGTTTATGATGGTATGATGTTGCTATTACTTGTAGTTATATTGTTTTTTTTATGTTATTAATATCATTGTTGTCAGAACACGACCTAAAAATAGATGGCTATTTAACTTTCATTGTTGAAAATCTCATCGACATCGGAATTCCCGATAATTAGACTAGACCTCTCTATCAATGGTTTTGAAAATGTTCATGGAGTTGCCACCGATATTTTTCTTAAAACATTAGAAAAAGAAATAGTTTTTGAAAACAAAGTTGGGTACGAGGGTTGATTGCGTGTGGAGTTGCGACCCCACAATGCCTAATATTACTACCCTATGACGTATTCATTACCAAGACAAAGCAGATTACTATTTTTACCCCTTTATTAAGCATGTAGTGATGATCTAACTACATGATATCTATTCTAAAAATTATATTATTTACAGCAATAAATAAAGTAATAAATAGAAAAAGGGAGAGAGATCGGAACCTCCAAAGCAAGCTTTATAGAAAGAAAATGAAGGTGCTTTGTGACAGCATCCTCGCTTTACAATAACCTCACTTCCTCTCGACAAATTTTAAGCAAGAAACTACAAAATCCCCAACAATGGTCCAAGGATTTCTTATTCAGGAACTATGACGAGTTTACTTTACTCAAAGTAACCTAAAGAGAGTCAAAAGAGAGAGAGAGAGTCCCCATTTTTGAGAAATTGGAGTGTGTGTGAGGGAGGGAAGTTGAACTCCTTAAATAGGCCTTAGGAGGTTGGAACGACCATTCTGGATTTGGAACGGCTATACTCTTCATGGGAATGGTCGTTCTCATACAACATGAGTATGCCCGTTCTCATGAAGAGTATGCCCGTTCTCATGTCTCCTAGGATTGGTTCTTTGGTTGTTTGACCCTTGGAATGTCTCCTGGAGGCCTCTTGATCCTTCCTGAAGTGTTCTAAAGTCTTCAAGGTCCTCTGAGGGTCGCTTTTCTTGCTTTAAAAGCTTCTCATCTTCAGATTCTCATCCTAGACAGAAACTAGTATCTACAATTGTTACATGTATGAATGCTTGTGATATGTTTGATGTGTGTGGCTATACGCCTATATCTCATACTAGTAGGCTAAGTTAGATATTTCTCATTCCCCTATATTTTTGTTATGCTCTTATGTATGTACAAGAAAGAGTCATCAAGATGATGATGCTGGTGATGAGGTATTGTGCCTTGGTTACCATATAAACCATTTATCATAAATCTAAAATATGATTTATATATTTAAAAATATTTTATTATTCAAATTTTAAATATGTTATATACTTAAGCATAGTATTTTATCTATATACATAACATATTTTTTGCACATGCTAAAATATTAATAAAAAGAATGATGTATATAGGGTGACTCAAGTGAGAACACTTGTTCATATGAGAAAATGAGAACACTTGTTCATATGAGAACATGAGAACAACTAATAACAATCCTTAGATTAAAATAAATGGTTTTGATTAAAAGATGTTACCACAAACTTTCATTATTGTAGTTCTCTCTATTATTGTTGTCCTTATCCTTGTTATTACAACCACTACCACTACACCTCCACCACATCGTCGCTACATTACCACCATTGTTGTTACCACCACTGCCACTACTACCATCACTGTCCCTTCCATCACCATCATCGTTGCCACTACCATTGTCGATGCCACCTTCAACAGTGGTGGCAATGGTGGTTATAACGACTCGATAAGTCATTACACTTAATATAACCCGGTATTACACAATGGAAAACATAAACTACTCAACTACACTAGTGTTCTCATGTAATAGTCACCTAGACATTCATGCAACAAATATATGTATAGGGTGTAGAAAACTTAAATAATTCTAGCCAATATGACTAAAAACATAAAGCCCTATTAAGGGGTTACATACAAACCTTGTATGTATATACA